TATTCCCCAAATCTTCCCCAACCTCCAAAAAACAGGAAGTCCATATCCTGTCTGTCTTCTCACCCGAGCCTAAACAGGCATTTGTTAATCACTTAACTGCTTAAACGTGTAACCAAAGTTCAGGGGAAAGTCTTTTGTTTATTTCATTTAGATGATGAAAAGGCTGAGCCGCAGTTCTGGATCAGGCGGCTAAATTAAAAAATCTGCTAAAAGCCGGATCAATTATGTAAAACATGAGGGTGCGATCAATCTGAAGCTCAGCTAAAGGATTGTAATAACCAAAACAAACCGATCTTTTGAATGCACAATTAATACCAAGTCATTTGAATACATTAGAGACAAACAAAAGTCAGCACCATTTATTTAATACTTGTAGATGAGAGGAAGAAAAAAAACTAATTTTGAGGGCCGGCTGAAAAGCCTGCGAGGATTTAAGCGACTCTTTCCAGCGTTCAGCGGAAACCGTTTTGTGATTAATCGCGGTAACAATTAGTCACTTAATCATATGAGTGAATACAAAAACTTCAATCTCATTTTCTGTTTTTCTAATTAAGAATGCAAAGCCTGACAGCCCCGTTAGTCGGTGGGATAATGAGATGGCGCCCGGTGAAAGAGCGGGTCGCTCAGCCGTTAGCCAACATGAACTCCGCTGTTCACCGATGGCTTCTGTTAACTGTGCAGAAAATACGTCGCTCTCCCGTTCTAACGAACACGTCACTCAGCATAAGAGCTGCAGTCACCTCACACATTGTGGTTACTGCAGGTAATCTCCATTTATACAGTTACATACCTTAATGTGACAGCCCAACAACCCGACGAGCATTAAAATGTATCAGGATATTAAACAAACAGATTTAGGCGAACAAATAAAATAAAAACAATAATCCTGTCATTTTTCTTTCAGCTAAATCTAGGTGGACAGACATGGCTGATGGCTGCTCTGGTTTAAATCATACGTGGTCCAATGACTGGCCTTCAGTGTGATTTCAGAATAATGACTTTTATCCTTTATGCTCCAACCACCTGGAAATCTTCACAACGCGTTGTTGGAAATGACAATAAGCCCTCGATGAGTTTTTAAGTTTTTAATTTAAAAAAATGTAATTTTGTATGTGAAAGTGGTTCCATAGTGGACTGGTTTACACGTTTGCCTAACAAAGCAAGATCCCA